CCATCAATATTTCCACACTCCTAGAAATATCAGTATGTGATAGATGCTAAACTTGTCAACTTGCTTCAGTGAGACATCACACAGGAAAATGTTGCCTTGGGCTGTTAGATCAAATGTCGACTTCGCAACTCACCCCACTGAGTGATTATGTTTAAAAATGTCCTAAACGTCCTAAACTGCAGGTTTTTCCTATGTATAAGATTAATGCTGCCTACCTTAAAGGGTTAAGGTAAGGATGATAGAAGGTCAGAATAGCAAAGAATTTTGCTTAGTGCCTGTCACTTGTCAGGCATCATGTTCCTACCCTTGCTTCTTCCTTTCCTTCAAAATAAAGCAGCTCAGGGAAACTGCAGTAACAATGGCTCCTTCAAACAGAATATAGATCAGTGGCATCAGGATGCTGGGGCAGGATTGATTTACTGCCTTCCTGCTAGCAATTAATAATACTGACCTGTAGCAGATCTGTCTGTGAAGGGGTTTATGGTTTTACAAAGGACATAGACCTTCCCTCTTCTGATCTTCAAAACAGCTCTGTGATGTGGCAGTTAGCAAACTCATTTGACAGAGGAGGATCTGAGGCTCAGGAAATTTTAGTGTCTTCTCCAAACAAGCTATAAGAAATAAAAATTGGTGTTTAAGACTTCTGACTCAAGTGTCTATGACATTTCAGCTGCTTCTTTTTCTGGTTCCCAAACCACTCTTTGAGGCCAGTCTAGGGAGGGATGTCAACAAACACCTGTTTACTTTAGAAGGTAAGTGATCTGCTGGTGCCAACCCAGGCTTACCTTCTGTGGTCCATTGAGCTGATCATGTCCTTGTTCTGGTGCTCCCAAGCAGCAACAATGCATGTTATTACATCAGGAGTTGAAGTGAAGCCTTCTCCCCTATCTGTACTTCTAATGGTTTGGCTATTTTATAGTTATATTTAGGAAGTCCAACATGTATCAGGGAAACCATTTCTAAGGTTATGGAAGGGATTAATGGAACAGAGCTTGTTTATTTTTCCATTAGTAGAATCCATAAATCTGAAAAGAGGGATTCTGAGATAAGGGGGATTTACTTGGGAGCCTGTAAAAGCAAACCCACCAACTTGTCTGTCTCTCTCTTTGCCAACACAGAGGAGGGACTCCAGCAACCCTGTGCTGGCAAGCTACAGAATCAGCAGATTGCTATCCTGTTCACTGCCACATAAAAGATGTTCCCAGAGTTGGAAGAGGGGGCTAATGCTCCATTGCTCTTTACAAGAAACAGACTTTTAAGGATAGTAAAGCTGGTGATGGATGATCATAATATTCCCTCGTCCTTCCCCAAGACAGGCTAATGGTACAGCATGCATGGCAGCCAGTGGTCATTTTTAATATTTAAATGGCATGTCAATTAGTGATTAAAATTTATAAAGTTCAGTGAGATTTAAGGAAAAGGGTTGGGAACACAGTTCTACCTTAAAATGTTGTAAGACACATGTAGGCTTCCCATTAAAACATTTAAAATTCCTTACAATGCTCACACACACACACATGCATATATACACACTGTATGTTGCTTTGTTTTTAAAATCTAGAATAAAAACTTAGGAAGCAGCATGTTGACTAAGCAATAAAATATTGATAGGAAACATGGCAGCACTCCTAAGTGGGGGAACGTAATGATAACTAACATGATAATTATTACCTTGAAACAGCCTCAGACACCTGGTAGAAATGATCTAATTATTCCCATACACAACCCTCCTGGGAAAGGTGTTATTATTTCCATCTAGCAAATAAATATAATATCTACTCTTGATTTATAAGTGTCATTTCTTTTGAGACACTTGTTTGTTTTCTGGTTCCTCTTCAAAATTTGAGATTTAATCACCTCCAAATTAAATAATTTTATAGATGCAGAGGCAGAATGTTCTGTGCTTCTATGAATGATGGATACAAATTCAGTGTATTCCAAACATTTTAGCAATATATTCTGAGAAATTATACAATGGCCACAAATACAGAAGTTAAGAAAAAGATCCAATACAAACTAGACATAATAAAAAAAATTCCAGTGCTTTCTTTGAGCATTTCTGGGTATGTGTGGCTTCACAATTCCTTGAGAATGGGAAGTGAGGAGGGCAGGATTTATACACAAAATTCACATGGCTCTCTTCTCCTTCCCTCCTTCAAATTAGCTATAAAAATGGAAGCTTTTACATGAGAGTTAACTGAAGCAGAAGTGTGGGGTCAAAGAAAAGTGGGAAATGGGGAGTAAAAGAAGGAGAAGAAGGGCTGAAGAGATGGCTCAGCAGTTAAGAACACTGACTGTACTTGTAGAAGACCTGGGTTCGAATCCCTGAACCCACATGGCATCTAACAACTGTCAGTCACTCAGTTCCAGGGGATCCAACACCCTCTTCTGTCCTCCACGGACATTGCACGACATAGGTGCAACTTGCCTACATGCAGGCAATACACGCATACACATAAAAATAATAAATAAAAATATTTTTTAAAAAGAAGAAATAAATAAGGAAACAAACAGATTTCCTAAATTCTTATACTTTTTTTTGCTTTGTTTCAAAGTGTCATGTGGTAATTGTGCATATATTTGTGGGCTACAGTGTGATATTTTGATGCATGTGCCCATATCCAAATGCTGTGATACAGGAGGCTTCCAAAGGGCTGCTGCTGGTTTGCCAAAGCTGCTATCCTAAGGACCACAGATTAGATGGATTCCAACCAAAGAAGTGTGTTTTTTCACAGTTCTGGATGAGGTGTCAGCGGGTTTTGTTTCTCCCAAGGTCTTCCTTAGCTTTCAACTACTTTTGTTTGTTTGTTTGTTTCTTTGTTTGTTTGTTTTTTGTTTGTTTGAGATAAGGTTCAATTATATAGCCCAGGTGGACTTGAACTCAGAATCCTGCATCGGCCTCTCAAATGCTGGGATGACCAGCCTATGCCACCACTCTGGGTGCCAAAATCTTCCTGTATCCTCACGAGGTCTCATATTATTTGCCTCTTTAAAGGCTCGATCTCCAAATATTACCACATGCTGAGGTTTTGTGGGGTGCTGCTTCAAAGGATTAAGCTGGTGATGAAGTAGTATAATGCGCCCCATATCACATGCCTCTATTCAAAATCATTTTGTGCTTTCAGGGAAGGTTATCAGAAATGTGTTCTGACTCCTACAGTATGAACCCTGAAGGTCAATGGTACTTTCTCACTCGAAGTGTTCCCTGTCAATCCATTTGACTCAAGTTCTTTACCTAAGTAGTTCCCAAAGGTGATTCTGTATACCTCCTGGAACATTCTCTAAGAGTTTATTGGCTGCTTTCCAATGCTTCCAAAATGAGGCTGCATTTTTTTTCAATCAAAGTCCATTTACATAATAATTCTAACCATGTGTTTAAGGAAGAGCAATTCACTGCCACCTCTGAATCCTGCAAGAGGGCAAGGGGCACACTTAGGCATCTGTCTTTTCTTGTTTCATAAGCAGTGCTTTCTGCTCCCAGCTTAGGTGTGTTCAAAGGCTTTGCCCCTTCTCATTTGTCCCAGATGGCTTCATCCTGGACTGGGTCACAAAGAGTGACACCTTTGCTCTGTGTTGGCAACTCAGATCACACAGTCAACTGCTGCCAGCCAAGTTAGTTAGACAAATAAAGTCAATTATGGATGGTGAAGTTGGACAAAGGAAACAAAGTCTTCAAGGTGAAGTTCCTTCTAAAAATGGTCACTAAGCACATGAATATATCTTTTCTACCACTTTAAGAAAAGGTGACATTCAATATTCTAATTTGAAAACATATGAATGAGGATTATTTTATACATTGTGAATTACATGTACATTACATTGCATACAAATAAAATCTGATTTAAATTATTTTCAGTTTCTTGTTCTCTTTAAATATTAAGTTTTATGCATTTCAAGTACAATTTAAGTGGAGAACTTGTGATCTATACGTGTATATTATATAATTACATGGTGATATAAAATCAGCAGAAATTCATGCATGCATCCTTCATTTAACAAGCACTTAGTCGTCTAAGTGAATGGGATAGTATCAAATGCTAGGGAGAAAAAAGGCATAAATGTCTCACAGTCAACAGGAGACAGAGGAAAACAAACAGGTTTTTACATAAAGCAGCAGCTCCAAAGTTGAACATGCAGTGGAATCATGAAGGTTTTTCAAGCCCAGATTTCTTGACACATTCATTGGGATTCAAAATTTGTATTTCCCTTGGTTTTCTGGTGCTGTTGGCTCAGGGAACACACTTTGGGACCCAAGAGTTACAAGTGCCCACAGCCCTGACAGCTCTGAGGAGAGCTTCCCAGCCATGGCTGAAGTGATACAAGTTAGAAAGCCTGACGGAAGTGATTTTTAAAAGATGAGTTGAGAAGGTTAAGGAAGGAGGGATTGGAACATCCTGAATACCTGATCTCTAAAGGAAAAGAGTTAGAGAAAGTGCATACGGTTTAAGAAATAGAGGTAAGACCATTTGGCTAAGACAGAGTTTGAGCTTGAAACAGTTCTAAGAGATGAAGGCAGAGCAGCACAAAAGGCACATTGCTGTGATGAAGGGCTTTGACTGGCTATTGTCCTGTAGGAGTTGTATAATCATTAACCCCTAGCTGGAAGAAAAGCACCCCAGTGGAACTCTGTCCACATCTTCCAAGGAGGCTTCTCTCTCAGCTTTCTGTCTTTTGGCAAGAAATCCTCTTAATTACTTGGAAGCAACAAGTTCCATGGAGGGCGATACGAAATTAGGAAGGCTGTGTTTACTGCATGTGAGCAGGCCTGGGTTGGGTTAAGCATTTGCCATTGACTATTGAGCCACAGTTAAGTGGTATTCGAGTACCTTTATAATTAACTGATTCACTGATTGACTCAGAAAATCCTAAGCTTCGCGGACCTCTGATGGCCTCCTCTTCCTCTGAGGGGAGTGAAGCTGGCCTAGAAGGGGAGGCTAGGAAGGGAAGAAGATGACCGTAGCAGCATGAGTGGTGATGAAATGTGCTTTGTTCCTTTCTAGGGGAAGATGACGACGACGATGAATGTGGGGAGGAGAAGCTGCCCTCCTGCTTTGATTATGTGATGCACTTTCTGACTGTGTTCTGGAAGGTCCTGTTTGCCTTCGTCCCTCCTACAGAATACTGGAATGGCTGGGCTTGCTTCATCGTCTCCATCCTCATGATTGGCCTATTGACAGCTTTCATAGGCGATCTGGCTTCCCACTTCGGCTGCACCATTGGCCTGAAAGATTCCGTGACTGCAGTTGTGTTTGTTGCTCTTGGAACTTCAGTGCCAGGTAAAGGATGTGTTCATATCTAATTCCCCCTGAAGGAAAAGCTCATTTGCCTTTCTGATCCTTTTATTGCCTACAATTTCAAGGACTGTGATAACCAAACAAGCCTATGAAGGATTTTTACTGAGAGCTACAAATAATGGCACAGTTAAAGTGCATTGTCAGATATGGCGCTTTCAAGGTTGTGGAGCTGGTCAGTATCGTTATGCTGACAGGTAGTCATTCCTAACGGGGCTACGTGACCTGTGTGAAGAAAGTAGACTCCTTTGATGGGTACATTTCAGATCAATTTCCTCTTACACTAAACACTAAAAAATACAGAACAAAAGACAGAATCATCTTCAAAATCAAAATTTGTCTTTGATATAGTAAGAAAAAATTGGGTGATTTCTCTGGCTGTTTGTATTCATTTGATTGACCAAGAAAATATACTGGATATTTGATAATAATCTTGATCCCAATATTAAGGGAAGTAAACAGGAAATAGATCTTGAACAGGAAATAAAAAAAGTAATCTTGACAAAAGCAAGGAGGTCAAATGTGTATTTCCTGGACCTCTCTCTTAATGTGTTTCTTACAAGCTAAGTTTTTCTCCCTATTTACAGCTGTAGTTCATTGCTTTTATTCATAATTCTGAGTAAGACACCAGCACTCTGAACAGCAACAGCAATCATTTTCCAATTTTTGTGCACATCAAAATTATTCAGAAGCATGTTGAAGAATGCAAAAATGTCTGAGACCCATCTCCAATCTGTGGAAGATTTAGGGGTAGAGTTCAGAAATCAAGGTCTCCCTGTATGTACATGCGCATGATGTAAGCAAATATAGTCTGCATCATGTGCAATCATATATCACTTAATGACAGTGATACATTCTGGGAAGTATGCCATTAGGTGATTTTGTCGGTGACTGAGCATCATAATTTGCACTTACTAAAACAAAGATGCCTATGACATCACTAAGCAATACGTGAAGTCATATGCGAAGTTTGTCGTCAACCCAAAGTTGCTCTATAATGTACAATTGCATTTCCTTCCACTATAATTTATGCAGGTATTTATCATCCCAGTGACCCAAACTAGTTAACCTCTCTGACCTTCATTTTCTTTTTTTTTGTGAGATGGGGATAGTCATACATAGCATGCAGAATTGTGATAAGAGTAGAGAAAATATTAAACATCTAGTAAAGCCTCTGAACATAGAAAGAATTCAGTAAAATTACATTTCTTTGGTTACTGTTTATGTTGAATAACTTTGGATGATCTGAACAGTATGAATACATAGTTACCTTGAGTAACCCTGTATAACCACAAATGAAGTGTCCAGAAATAGACCACTCACCAAAATGCATGATAGTATCCAACTGATTGATTACTTGTGGGTGCTGGTTATGAGGACACAGTGATGCTGGTACCTAGCTGAGTTAATGGATGTGATAACGGACTATTTCTGCTTTGGTGAGAAGAACTGTTCAATTTCCAGGTGACTGTAGATCCCCAGAGGGCAGCAGATTCTCTCAAGACCAGCTATGGTCCCACAGTTTCGCATATGGTCTATATTTTGAAAATTTTTCCACAAACTTGCCAAATATAGAGTAAGAGTAAAACTTAGACTCTTAATGTCTTACACTGTTTTGTTTAGCAAATTTACACAAGTAAAGAAATTAAACCTCATGTTTCTATGTTTATTATAGAAAAGTATATTTTGGGGTCCACTTTTCCTCAAGCTTAAGTGACCACACCAAATGGTGTTCGACTTAGGAGATATTCTGTTGTCCTGTGTTTATATCCCTTGAGCAGAATGTGTGTAGAATATGATAATAAAAGCAAAATTAGATCGCTCATATCAGTGGTTGGTTCAAAATCAACCTTCTTTTCTAAAACGGCACAAGTTACTCTTCCAAATACATCTTTTGTTTACAAAAATTACTGTTCCTGGATATTTTTCTTAATGTACCAGTGCTTTATCTCCAGTACTTCAAATTGAACCATTTGTCTGTGAGCCATTTTTCCCAAATTCCTCTGTGTTATCTCTTGTTTTGTTAAACTCTTTTGGAAAATATGACAGCTAGGCGATTATAACATTTTTTTTTCTGTAACTTGAATAGGTTACAATAGACCTTAATGCTTAGAGAGTCATTTTATTCTGCCACTAAAAACCAACTTAGAACCCAGATAGCGACATCAAGAAATAACAACACGTATTTTAAGGACAGTCGTTAGTTGTTGAAATGGCTTTCCTACAGGTCCAGTAATGCTTCCTACTGGGACACAGGCTTCTTTGCTGAGGTATGGGAAAATTCCTGTGATTTACTGCAATATTAATGGCACATCATGCTCTGCAATACGATAATCACAGGAAATTTCAGAAAACCATATCTACATAAATAGGTATTCCCCTCCCAAAAGAGCTATGCAAATTAAAGATGCTAGATAAATACATTTTTAATTAAAAATATTTATGGGTATAAGTGTTTTGCCAGCATATTTGTAAATGCATCTATGTGTGCAATGCCCACAGAGGCCAGAAAAAGCTGTTGGATCCCCTGGAACTAGAGTTTCAGAGGGTTGTTAACTGCCATGTGGGTGCTGGGAACCAAACCCAGGTCTTTTACAAGAGCAGCCAGTGCCCTTCTTCACTGAGCCATTACTCCAGCCCCACTGACTTTATTTTCCATGTTGATTCTGACCTCTGTTTTATTATATCCTCAAACTCTTAAAGAAAAGTGATACTGTTGTTTCTAGAGCACAACTCAGTTGTTATAGGTGGAAGAATTTAAAACAAAAAGTAAAACTAACATTCTTCACTTACAACTTGCTATTAGTTGACATTGGCTCTGGGACCCAGCTTTTCCCTAAGTAATGTCTTGACACTGTTCTTAAAGTAGAAAGACTCCTGTCCATGACCTGATGAACTGCTTTCTCTTTCTACCAGAGATGCTTTGATTCTTAGATGGAGAAGGCTAGATAAGGATTGAAAACTTTCCCATGCTATTCTTCCTGCCTCAGGGAGGGATTAAAAGCCCACACATCTCATTAGAAGTATTTTCTTTACCATGTTGTTCAAAATCTGTGGGGAAAAGTTTGTGGCTTTCTGGGTGAATCAGCTTCTCTTACACAGTATCAGCTGGTATCAAGAGCTCATTAAAATGTACAGGCAGGACAGTACTCACAAGGATCCTAACTCACCCAGAGTTTGAAAGCCAATGCATGGCAATAGAGCAAGGGCCTCCTCTTCCGACTGCCATTCTGTTTGGAGAAAAACCTTCCAGAATAGTCTCTTCCCACCTTGAACTGTTGGACTGAGCCACAGCCTGGTCTCCAGCCCTCTCCCTTTTTTTCTCACTGTGCCCACTCCCTGAACAGTCAATGGCATACATTCCGCCTACATACCAGTAATTGTCAGATGCACATCCTCAGCCTCTACTGTCCTCTAATCTACATTCACACACCACTTGCCTTCCCTACATTCATGCTCAGTGCATAGTGTGCAGCTCCACATTACCACATTCAAGACAGCTAGTGATTTCAGTGGCCCAGTGACTTCAATCCTTTAGTCAAATCTGTTCTCTCCAGACTTGGCCTTCTCAGAAAAACAGTATCATGATCCTTCCTGGAGGCTTTGATTCTTGTTTCCTCCATCCTCAAATCCTGCAGGCCTTCCCTCTAAAGTGTGAATAACAGGACCCCCATTCTATACTGCCCCCCCATTCTATACAATTGTTCTTTATTCAAACAATGCGGCACCTCCTCCCTGTCTCCTTGCTTCCAACGGAGATCATTTTTAAGATGTAAATCTAACCACAGTGCTGCTTATAGTCTTCCAGGGATACTTTCTTCACTTAGGATAAACTCCAAAATCATCACTCTGAATTACAGACTCTTGTCGTTTGACCCTTCCTGACAGTCTCCTGTTCTTGCCCACTCTCCTTGGAGCTCAGCACCCTTTTCTAGTCTCCATACACTGTGCTCATTCCTTTCCTGCTCTCCGTTTCTTAAGTACTACAGTGTGAAACGCTCTTCCCCTTCATGGACACAAGACTAACTTATCCACCACCGCTTTCCACATTCAGGGACGTCAGCAGTAAAGCAATCCACCTAGTCCTTCATATTATTTGTCTTATTTCTGTACAGTTTTCATTACTTTCTAAAGTTTTGGGTTTTTTTTTCCTCTTTTTTTAATTAGGCAAAAGCATATATTCAAAGCTTTAATAACTAGAATAAACATAACAATGTATTTTTCTCTGGAGTAAAAACAGAAGCGTTTTAAAAAAATGTAATATATTAAAAAACGTAATAGTTCATACAATGTACTTTGATCGCATTCACCTCCACTCCTCCCCTAACTCCTCCCAGATCCACCCCCTATGTCTTGAAACCTCCAACTTTTTGTCGAAAGGAAGTGTTTCTTTTTATATTTTTAAAATTATGTTTGTGTGTACATATGTGTGTGGGTATGTGCATGCCACGGCACGAGTATGGAAGTCAGAGGACAGCCCATAGGAGACAGTTCTCTTCCGAGTGTATCCCAGGGATAAAATTCCAGCTGTCAGGCTTGGTAGCAAGTGCTTTTGCTCAATGAGCCATCTCACTGGCCCCAAAGGAAGAGTTTTCAATAATAATAATAATAATAATAAAATAGCAATGAACATAATAGGCGAGATGTGGTGGCACAAGCCTTTAATCCCAACACACAGGGGGCAGGGCAGGCAGAGCTGGAGGCCAGCCTGGTCTACATAGCGAATTCCAGACCAGCCAGTGCTACATAGTGAGACCATAGCTCAAACAAACAAACAAAACTCCAAACCAACCAAACAAACTAAAATCCCACAGGGGCTGGTGAAATGGCTCAGTGCTTAATAGTATGAACTATTCTTGTAGAAGACCCGAGTTTGGATCTCAACACCGATGTTGAGTGGCTCACAGCCTCCTGTAACTCCAGCTCCCTCTTCTGGCTTGCACTGGCATGTGTGCATAGACACACAGATATATATACAGTGTACC